CTTTTTGAAACTTTTCAGGAATTTGCGAGAACTCTCAGGCAAAAGTACATCTAAAAAGTCAAATTTGAAACATGACTTTGCTTTTTTAAATACTTAAAAATTTTCCTTAAAAAAATTAAAAGAGACGCTTTTATTTTGATCACTCGGAACTTGTCTAAAGTTTTCGGTAAAATTCAGATTGTTGAGACAGTTTTTTCAAACTTTTCGAGGATGTTTTCACACTTTGCTAGATCTTTCAGATTTTTTCGGGACTTTTCAGGTTTTTTGGGATCTTTCAAGTCCAAAAACAATTTAAATCCCAAAAGTTGTTTTTTAGTTCAAAGCTTCGCCTTATNTTTGGTACGGTCTCTCGTTTGGGGTGCAGAATAAGTTCCAGATATTTCATCTTTTTTCTTTCTTTAGTTAGTTCTTAGCTACGAATATTTGGCAGTCCTGCTTGAAAATTTTTTGAATTGAAAAGTTTTTGTTATTTATTTAAAAAATCATATTTTATTTATAATAAACGTTTACATACAAGTATACACTGTAACAAATATTATTCTGAAGTAAATACATACATAATTACTTACTATGTAGTACGATAATACAGGCAAATAAAATGAAATGAAATTATAAAGTTAATAAAACATATATTATTTTCACTGCTTATATATGCATCAATGCATACGGTTAATAATGCATTTTTTTTTAAATGTATGTTTATATAAAGTATTTTCTTTTATACTTAAATAACTAAAAACCATTAGCGTCTACTTATTTATGCTCCGATAAATCATTGGAGCCGAACGATCGTTAGTTTTGGTGTGACGCAGTTTGACTGTGGCAAATTGGGATGCACTTTATTTGTGAATAAAGAAGCAGTTAGAGATGGAATAAACAAAGAAAATTATTTCATATTAGGTTGAAATGCCAGACAATTTATTTATTTTTTTTAATATTAAGAGAATTTGAAAAATTAAGAAATTCTTGGATTGCTTGGAATAATCATTGTTTGTTATATATAATGTATATACATTAATAATATACAGGGTTAAAATAAAGGTATTTGTTTCTTAGATTGCTTAATATATTTGAATATTATATGTATATAGTTTTTAAATTGCATTTTAACAAACTTTAACTCATCCAACTAAGCTTTAAATACTTCCTAAAATTCTAATAGATAGCACATCGATATATACTAATACACATATAATAATATTTAATGTACATACATACGTATAGATATGTACGGTATACATACAAAAAATCAATTAACAGCAGTACATATTTAATAAGTTTTCTTGTTGTTTTCGTCTATAGAACAGTGTCTTGTTTTTTATGTGTTTCGAGCAAATTCAATGTAGTTTTGTTTTAGCTGTTGTTCTTTTTTATTGTTGTTTGTGGTTATTGTTTTGTGTGGTGTAGTGTTGATAGAGAGCTGGACTTAAAAGTTTGCATCAATTTTGCGTAATTTCTATTTTTTTTTGGTTCTAGAAGTCTATGTAAATGTTGCGGAAGGCACCACCCTTTCTAGAAATACACATAGAAAAGAGAGGAAATATACAGAATTTTTATAGGATTTAAATTTAGCAAGCGAATGGTTGGCCAATTAGTGGTGAATGTAAGAAATGAATATTGAAAAAGGAAATGAGTTTTATTAGCAATGAAAACAATTGATTAAATGAAGCAGCGATAGTTAAGAATTTATAAATTTGAGTTATTAAAGCAAATAGCATTTCCTAAGAGAAACTAAAACACGTATAGTAGAGTGCATTAATTTTTTCGATTAAGCGTATAGCAGAAGCGTAATTTACGGACAATTCTGAGAAAATTTTCCCAAGAAACCATAGTCCTGAATTCAAAACAACAAGCGCTTAGCCGATGATATAGTTTGATACTTATATCAATTTCAATAAGTTTCCTATGAAAGTGCCACATCTTTTAGATTTATCTTACATAGAAATTTTCTCGTCGCAAATCCGTAGCTCCGTTTTGATGTTGGAACTATGGTTTCTGGGGCACATTTTCTTAGTATCTACCATAGATTACTTTTATGCTAATGCTTTGTCAAGGTTTTTCATGCCGAACAAAGCGATGCACCCTAATGTATAGTTCAAGGAAGACTGTCGAAATCGTGTCACTTTTACTTGGCTATATTGAAGTTTTGACCACTTGCCTACTACGCCCTCCAAGCTGATTTTCTGTTTGTTTGCTTACGTGTTTGCTCAGAGAACGTAGAATACAGAGTAAATGAAAAACTATACTGGACATCTACCTCGTCGCCGGTAAGGCAGTCAGCATTCTAATTCAGATAGGAATCCAATTGAAATTGAATAAGAACTTACAATGACCCACACAAATGACTACGTGTTAATTTATNTTTCGAGAAAATATTTTTTTTTTGTTATTTTTCTATAAAAATACCGTCCAATCATAGTTTCAAACATTATATAAAATTTAGGAAAATTCAAAAAATTTTCAACAAAATTAAATCTTTAGAACATTTTTGGGTATGCAGTTTTATAGCCCATACAATTTTAGTCCAATTAAGTGCAAGTTTCAAACGGATAAAAGATCCCGTTGATTTTGGGGAATTTTTTTTACGGGTTTTTGCACTTTTTCGAATATATGCATGAATTTCTTATGGAATAAAATACGGGAAACCGTTAGTAATAAAATCTCAAAAAATCTACTCCAGTTTTTGTTAATTGCACGTATTATATAAAAAACAAATCGCAAAAGCAGTCTCAAAAAAAAAATGACATAAATCAACGCGATTTTTCAGCCGGTTGAAACGTGCACTTCGTTAGACTAAAATTGTGTGTGCTATAAAACTGCATACCCAAAAATGTTCTGAAGATTCAAATTAAAAAGTTGAAATTTTTATGAAAACTTGCTCAATTTTTCCTTTTTTGTATAAAGTTTGTAATTGTGATTGTATGTTTTTGGTTAAAGCTTGGACGGTATTTTTATAGAAAAATAACAGAAAAAAATTTAGCTCAAAAAACATTAGGAAAAAGTATAAAAAAAATTAACACATGGTAATTTGTTTGAGTCACTGTATTTGAATTATTTAGTATGGGGACCGCACTGTCGAATTTTACTTTTTTTTTTAGTTGTATATTTTATTTCATTTTACGAGTCTTTTATTTTCCTTTATGCTATTATTTCACATAATCTATTCAAGTAATTTAATCTTTTAGAGTTGAATTTTATTAAAAAATACCACATCAACTAGAACTACATTTAAAGAAATAAAAGTAATAATTGACGGATTCAAAGGACGTTTTTAAAAATTTTCTGCCCGTGGGTTTTGAGCCCTTAATAATACCATCTGACAGAGTACAATTTTGATCAGATCAACTGCGCTGTTAATACGGATTAACGTTGCCGTCTGTTTATGCTATAAGCTTGGCCTTCTCTAGAATCCTACAGCAGGTTGTGGCCTTCTTCTTCGTAAACAATATTATGATATTCTCATTAGCCGCGACACTGGGACTCGACTTCGAAGTATATGATGCGATTTATATATTTTTTAACGATTATGTAAGTGTATTATAAGGTGCGGCCGCTTTTTTTCTTGATTGTGTTAGAAACTTTTTTGACATTAGTTATTAGAAAATTCTACCACTTAATGAAGGTGAGTTACATAGTGTTGTCATAAATGTATAATGGTATGAATTACATAACTATTTACGAAAATGCAGTTTAGATATTTTAGCTTAGCATTAACATGGACTATGTTTGATACATTTAGTAATTACAATATACATCTTTAAAATAAAAGAAAAATTAAATATAGATATATCATAGATGGATGCCCTTAAACTTATAAAAGCTTAGAAAAACTCGAAATTTTTTTAATTATTATTGAGCCGTATTCAAGTGTAATATATGTATACTCGATTTGCAAGCTTTAGGTTATTTCTTTTTTAAGGGTATCTATTAAATAATAAATGTTCAGCTGTAGCAGTTTGTAGCAAAGATATACATACATGCATGGCTTTCGCTAGCGGTGTAAAAAATAGTGAAAGTGACATATTTATTTTTGATGACAGCAATCCACGTTACCTTTGTGTGTGTGTCTTTTATATCATAACTTCTAATTAGCAACAAATGTATCATAGTTTTGGAAGACATTAATTGTACGCCAAAGCCGCCTATTTCTTTTATGTGGCATAATTTAGGGATCACCAGCACTAGTTTCCTTGCAATGATTTGCCATTAGGTACAAACTGTAATAAGCCTCCTAAATGTATGNTCGCAAAAGCCGCCTATTTCTTTTATGTGGCATAATTTAGGGATCACCAGCACTAGTTTCCTGGCAATGATTTGCCATTAGGTACAAACTGTAATAAGCCTCCTAAATGTATGCAATAATAAAAAACACTCCTATATTTTTTTCCTTGGGGAATCAGAAAATCGTCTAAAGCAGTGCTGCCGAAAACGTGCACTCTATGTAGTTTTGTCTTCGTCTTCTAACACCAATGCTAACGATTTTTAATTAGAAACAAAAAAAAAATATTAACAGCAGTGTATGCATGTATTNGCAATAATAAAAAACACTCCTATATTTTTTTCCTTGGGGAATCAGAAAATCGTCTAAAGCAGTGCTGCCGAAAACGTGCACTCTATGTAGTTTTGTCTTCGTCTTCTAACACCAATGCTAACGATTTTTAATTAGAAACAAAAAAAAAATATTAACAGCAGTGTATGCATGTATTTCGGTTATTGTTGGTAGCAACATGCTTCTGGAATTACTTGTTTGAGGATTTGGTTATTTTCAGGCAAAAAATCGGCGACCCGCTATTTTCTTTTAGTCACTAGTACTCATTCCAGCTGACGCCAGATAATAATTTTTGAAATCGAAAAAAATTTTCTGGCAGCATTGTTGCTAGCGGCAAATGGCATTCCTTTTAAGAATGTTTCATTTAATTTGAAAAAAGTTTAACTTAATTTGAATAAAGTTTCATTGAATCTGAAAAAAAAGTTTCATTTAATTTAAAAATGGGTTCGTTTAGCCTGAAAAAGGTTTAATTTATTTTGAAAAAGGTTTTACTTAATTAGAAAATGGTTTCATTTAAACTGAAAACGCTATAATGTTTACAAAAACTGTTTTGTTCTGTAGCTTAAAACGGCAAAATTTGTATCTCACAAAATGTTGCTAGCAACATGTGTCTTCAGGCAGTACATATTTAATAAATCGCTTATTTTCGTAAGAGTCAGTTCCAGCTGAGGACCGAAAGTAAGTAATAAAATCGGGAAAAAATGTTTCAGCAGCATGTTGCTTGTGCAAATGTTTCAAACATTACTTAAAAGTTAGGCAAAGGTTAAGATGGAAAGTTTTTCGCATCGTGTAAACAAGAAGATAATTGCTGCGCGCTTGCTAAGCATCTAGTATATTCGAAAATAGTTACTAACGGTTTGTGCCTTTCCAAAATAGTTTTCATGCGTAACGAAAACAAGTAAAATTCCAACTAAAAAAAATTCTTTTTGTGCGTTTGTTCAGATTATTATATTAATATTTAGTTTAAAACTTAGGACCTAACTGAAAGCCATTTCCAACTTTCCTCTTGGCACTAATTTTATGTATTTTAATTTTAATTACATATATGAATTTATCCTACTCTTCATATTTTTTTTTCAAGGACCTTTAGCGTACTTGCTCCTGTATCCAGAACGTTGCAACAAATTTCTTTCTTTGCATTTAGCTGCTACCAGCTGCGAAACCGTTCGGTTGCCTGGCTATGTTGCTTAGCAAATTGATGCCTCTTAACTACCCTCAAACCACCGCCCAAATGCAATTTCTTTTCAAATAATGTACTTTGTTGCCCTCTGAAAATTCTTGCTAAAATTCCTGTTCACTCGCCACCTCATATTTTCCCATTATTCATGGACTTGCGGCTCACGAGTGTATTTTGATCCTGTTGATCCCAAAAATCATACCACGGCCCATATGTTTTGCCATAATGATGCCGCTCTTTGTCACTACCACCCCCACCACCACCACCAGCACTCGCGTGCCCATTTTCGCGTGATTTATTTGATTTTGATGCGCGCTCTAAAGTCATACTTGTCATGTTGCTCGATTTTATGAGGCGCGTGCGTGGCAATATTGTTGCTGTGGGTGTATTCATAACCGAATTTGTATTGACGTTCGAGTTTCGTGTCAGCGTCGAACTGTTATTCATGCTGTAGCGATCACGCTCGCGCTCGCGTTCCCTATCTCGCTCTCTCTCTTGTTCGTGTAACTCCTGTTGCTTCTTCGATTTGCCGCCGCCCGCAACACCGCCGGCTCCGCCCCCACCACTGCCATTACGTTGCTCGCCGCCATTTAATTTATTCTTCTTGTTGCCGCCCTGTTGCTGCATAGCCGCGGATGTGGTTGTGGCGCGAAATGTTTGAAACTCCATTTGATGCTCCTGATAGGAGTTGTGTAGCTGGCGCCGATGTTTCTCGTCCTTGCGCACCAAATGATCATTAATTACTATGCAGTCGTAGGGGTCCGAGCTGGTCGATTTGATTTCCACATCATCGGATTCATCCTCACTGGTGTAGTACTGCTTCAGTATATCCTTGCGCTTCACTGTCTTCATAATCATGCCGCCAGTGGTATTCTCGTGTGAGATATCGTCGAAGAAGTTATTGACGTCACTCATCTTGAGCGTGCCATTGTCGTCGCTGTCGGCGTCCTCATCTTCGGTGGAGTGCGGAAAATCTTGCTGCTTACCACGCGTCTGTGATTGACCACCACTACCGCTCGATTTCATTTGCTGCAGACTGGCATGCTTTCCAACGTTAGCATCCACATTGTTGGTCTGGTGCTTCTTGTGGCTGTTGCTCATTGTTTCGCGGCGTGACGACTGCATGCCAGTCGTGGTACCACTTTTGTTCTTGTTCTCACTGGCGCGCGCACTATTTATATTCACCTGTGGCAGCATGCCAGCCGTTTCACGATACTCCTTCTGATATTCTTTTTGGCCACGCTTTATTGTGCTCAATCTCTCGCTTTCTATTGGATTTTCAATATCGATCTCGATCGTTTTCATGATTTTCATGCGCGATTTGGGCGTGTACTCTGCGCGCATTGTGGTCGCATTCGATTGTATTGAGTTGCGATTGGCTAAAATGATATTCTCGCGCTTCACCGCCGGGCTCATGCCATAGATATTCTCGTCATCATCGTACACTTCCATGCTGGTAACGCTGTCATTGCGACGCTTTTCCGCCGATGAAGTTGAATTGTTGGAGTGTGATTTGGTTAGCGTGCCATTTTTGTCGATGTTATTACGCGAACGCTCCCGCTCACGGTCGCGTTCGACCCCATTTTCAGGTTCATCGTCATGTTCCACGTGTCCATTCTCCTTGTGCGGTGGACTATCAGTGCGCAAATCCTCTAGATTTGGTGCGGCTACTAAATCACGATGTTGCCAGAGCGACATGCCCGCCAGTATATCTTCGCCGCGTCCACCAAATTTCCAAAAAGACTTTGTTCGCTTTATGCCGCTACTCGAAGCTTGCAGTATTTCGTCATCACTGGCAATAAGATCATAACGCATTTTCGTATTACGTCGGCTGAGGCCATTCAAAGCCTTGTCGTCAATCTGACTGTCGACGCTGTTACGGAAATTGCGATTCAGTGTCCACGAGGTGACGTCTCGTGAAATATGGGAATTGGTGTCAGCACGACGACTGTTGACTCGAATGTGTCATGAAAAATGGAGGCAAGAGAAAGCCAGTGCGGTCCGTTGATGGGTACGCAATGTTTTTAGATATTCAAGCGATTTTGGTTTTAAGTGGATTTTTGTTGAAATTTTCCAATTGTTCGGGATTTAGCATTGTACATTTGTGTTTATGATTCGAGTTTTACAGGGTTATGCAACGGAATTTGATTAGCAACACAAAATTGATGAATGGGGCATGAAATGAAAAGAGTTACAAAAAGAAACAAAATTAAAATGATAAATAAAATATAAGGAGAGACAGAAAATTTTGACTTTCTTTTGGGTAGACTATTTTATGGCGATTTCATTTCTACCGAAAAATATTACATTCTTATTGCCCTCTAAGCAGAAACACTAAGAACCGAGCAATAAAAAGGCAACATTTTTTGTAGAAACGAAACCGCCATTATTCATACATATGTATGTAAATATGCACATAATTCTTCTTTTGGTTATGACCTATATATTCCACTTCAACTCTCTTCACTCTGTAACCTATAACGTGTTAACTGTATTATCTATGCTTTTGATGCCTTATTTTGTATGTTCAATGTTCCATCACCTTTCACGTTTGATCTGTGATATGTGATGTATTATATCTGATCTATGATTCAAAATCAATGTTCTAACATCCATGATTCATGATGCATGAGCCATAATAAATGATGTTTCTTTTCATAGGATTTATGTATACATATGTACTCTATGATCTATAATTTCTGCTCTGTAATTTATCATCTATGGGACATATTCATAGTCAAAATAAAGTCGAATCTAACGTTAGTAGAAGCTTTTTTGACGATAATCCATTGAAAATTATGTCAAAAAGCTGATATTATCTTTAGAGTAGACTTTATTTTGACGATGAATATGTCCCTACGTCTTTTATTGGAATTGGTTTTTACGTTCCGGTGCCTCAACCGAGCGTACAACCAGAAACGGTCAAAATCAAGTGATCGTTTACAACGCCAAACGAAAAGATGGTTTATGAACTATGATCTATGATTTATGAGCACTTCTATGTATATATGTATGTTCTTTGTTCTATGATACAGGGACCTTAATATCGTATTTCATGATCTTCTATGTGTACTCTAAGCACTATGACTAATGGTGGATATTTAGTTTGTATTTCACATGCAAATAACTCTGTATGATCAATATTCTATGATTTAAGAAGTGACCTATGCACATCTGTGATTCTTCGTTCTATGCGGCTAGGTATGTCTTGTATTCTATCTACATATGTATGTACATTAGCGTGGTCCAAAAACAGTAAAGTCGGAATTGTAATGCTCTCATCCCATAAGATCCTTCTATATAGACCTCTAAATATTTTTTGATTTCAAAATAAAAAAATAGGGGTATATTTTTTCGCTATAGAGCAATGAGAGCATAAAAATTCCGACTTAACTTTTTTACATGCATTTTTGGACCACCCTAAAGTACATATGTCGAAAGTTAGGTAATAACTTTGAATGGAAAACAATTGATCGTTCAACAAAAAATATATTTCAGGCTACAGATTCTCCCCACCAAAGAGCAAATATATAGTTCTAGTTTGAAATCTTAAGTAAATCTGAATGAATCTGTACTACGATTTCTGTCCGGACAGATCTGCCATCGATCCATATTTGGAAGTAAAACTTTTCGCTGAGACAATTCTTATATCTGTATTATTTTGCGTTTAATATTGCCATTTTAAGCTAGCTGGTTGTGGAAACGAAAATTGCCGCGTATACATATCTTCGATGCCTTTGAAAAGTCGCCTACTGACCAGTAGCAAAACCACCTAAAACGCCATAGTGGGAAAAATAAAATTTGCAAACCCGGAACTCTAAGTACCGAGCTTCAAGCAAAAAATCGTAAAACCGTAATTCCAACAATTTTTTTTTTTAATTACAGAGATATGAAATGCCGCCTATCAAGTCAATGACCTCAGAGAAATTATATTTCTTCGCCATCCTTTAAAATAAGAGCGCCGTAAGATAGGCGGTTTTACTACTGGTCCATAAGCGGTTTTGCAAATCAAGGACGGAAAATAATCATTATTTTTTAAATTTTAGCCAAAAGAAAATCGTTGTAAAACAATTTTAACTATGCTCTTGTATTTGTGTTCGTACGTTCTACTGTAGTTTACAATGATTTTAATTTTTCGAGTTTAATCAATAAAGATTAAAAATAATAATTAGTATTTGAGTTATATTTTTTCGCTCAAAGCAAACTATTATTGCTCGATTTTTATTTTTTCCATCATAAATAATGATTATTTGATGATTTTTATTTTTTCGCTCAAAGATAATAATTATTATTGAGTTTCATTTTATTCACTCAAGAACAATGATCATTCAAAATACTCAAAAGCAATACCAGCGTGATTTCTGACGTATTCTTTTCTAATTCTTTGCTAATAATAAGAATCAAATAATAATTATTTCCGTTGAAAAAATAATACTCACTAATAATGCGGAAAAAATAAAAACCATAAAATAATGATTAAATGCTGATTTAAATTATTTTACTCATAATGATTACTGTCCCTGCAGCAAATACATAGACGATATGCCTTTGGATACCGAGGAACCTTTTTATATAAATGGCCAACACTTTTATCGCATCTGCTTGATTTTAGATAGAAATTTCCTATTATTGCATGCCGTACTGTTGGGCCGAATATATGGATTTCGGAACACATTGTTATTTTAATAATAAGAAGCGGGCTAATAACCATACTGTGGAGTTAGCACGGTGCAACTCAGCTCTGGCGCTATATCAAAGCTCGATCCTCTCAGTAATGGTCAAACATAGCTAACCACAGTCATAGAGATCCACAATACTGCAGGGTCTATAGCTATGTTTAGCCTTCCTACTACTCCAAGCAGTCGACAATTATCATCAAACTGAAAAGTAAGGATTTCCCTGTACCATCTGCTATTTATTCTGGACTTTGGGGCTCTAGTTGCAAACAATGCAAGACAGCTTTAGGGATACAACAT